GGAGTAGACACCACCTAAGGCTGAGGCAGGGAAACTTTTGGCTTTGTGGTAAGGTAACTGTGTTTTGTTTTCCATTTCATTTACCGTGCAGTAACTAAATTAAGCTTCAATCTAGAACTGAACTTCCGAAATGATCAGACAAAGGACACCCAACTTAGATAATATGGGAGTCTTCCCCACCTCCCAAGATCCTGAGGTCAATTTAGCATTTTGTTTGCTAACAGGCCTTGATGACAGCTGCCACCTGTCACATCTCCAGGAAACACAAAACAAATCATTTGCATTATCTCCAAAGATAATTTCCTCCTTAGGCTAATTTTGAACCCTTTTCCATTGAACAATAGAAATTTACTTTTCTCTTTTGCCTTCCTATACAGTGTACTTCAGATGGGAGGAGGGACCAGAAGGCTTTTCACAGAGCCCCTACTCTTCAGAAAACTGTTCTGTGCCATAGGCTCATGCTCTGTTGCTCTATGTGTGAGCATAGCATAGGACACCCTTCACTGTAGAAATCTCACCCTGGCCAGGGTCCACTCCTTTGCTGTCTTATTTCCTTTTTGCATTGCTGTGGTGGGATAGCTGACAAGAAGCAATGCAAGGAAGGAAGGCCTTTTCTTGGCTCACTGTCTGACGGGGTACAGTCCATCACGGCAGGAAAGGCGTGGTAGCAAGAGCGGTCACACTGCACCTGCAGTCAGGGGATTCATTTCAACTTACTTTCTCCCTTTTATTGAGTCTAAGATGACAGCCCATGGCACAATGCCACCCATACTCAGGGTGAGTCTCTCTTGCCCACTTCAATCTTTCTGGGAACACCCTCAAAGACACACTTACAGGTATGTTTTCTTGGTGGTTCTATATCTCAAGTCAATTATCAGTATTAGCCATCAGACTCATACATATTAACAGTCATTGAATATCAGAGTGGCTGGGCATGTTTTGCACCAGGACATTTCAAGCAACGTCATGGTCAAATTCTCCCTCTCTACCCCTACCTGCTTCCATCCACATCTGGAACACGGAGGATACTAAAGGAGGGAAACCTCAGTGATACAAAGTATTGGTTTGTTTCTGTCTAAGATATATGTATAAAAATAAATACTATCTGTTAAGTGTATCTGGATTACAAGATAGTTTTAGATTTTTCAGTAAAAGACAAAAAGGTAAACCAACTGTAAATAATCAATACTTTATTACATCATAAATTTATTTATTAAATTATTATTATAATTGTGAGGATAGTCACAAAAGGCTGGGCATGAGCCATGCCTCCCCCAAAAGTAAACTTTTGCTGTTCAATGGGAAAAGTTCAAAATTAGCTTAAGAAGGAATCAGTGGACCCACACAAGATATGAACTATTGGTTTGTGACAAAGAGTCAAAGGTGCTTCCCTCTGAAGAAAAGATAGAAGAACAGATTCAGAGTGAATGAGCACTGTTATGCCTTCAACTTGTACCCCCACATGCTGTATAAACACTAACTCAATCTTGATTCCAAACCTAAGTGTAATATGATCAGCTATGAGATGTTCAGAAAAGAATCCTTTCGATTTGAGCTGCTGAGAGATCCTAGTTCAGGAGTCAAAAGTGTGGGACATGGAACATGACACCCTTAAGTCAGACCACAGTGAGTATTTCCATAAAGATTTGTTAAAAGAATGGAAAACAAGCTGAGAGATAATATCCATAAACCATATACCTGATAAGAGACTTACATCTCAGATAAATAAGGGACACTCAACACTTTGCCAGAAAACAAAGAACCTAATTAAAAATTATTAGATGATTTGCATACTCAGTTCACCAAAGAAGATAAACGGTTAGGCAGTATGCACATTAAAATGTGCTCAACATCATTGGTCACTGGAAAACTGAAAGCTACAACCACAGCAAGGTATTTCTATGCATCTGTGGGGGTAACATAATAACAATGTTGCTATAGGAGTAACTGATACTCTCAGACACTGCTGATGACAAAGGAAAGTTGGTACAACTACCATGGAAAAGTCTTAGAATTTCCTATACATTTATTTATAATAGTCATAGGGTCTAGAAATTCAGCATAGCTAACAAGTAAAATTAAAATGTATGTCCATGCAGAAACCTATTTGCAAACATCTGTAGCAACTGTATTTAAAATCACCAGAAATGAGAAATAGCCCAAATGCTCTTTGACTAGGAAATGGATCACACAGCACACACCACTCAATAACAAAAAGAAATAAGCTATTGATAAAGACAGCAACATGGATGAACCTCAAACACGTTACACTAAGGGCTTCACTTAACTCAGACGCCGAAATAACTGCAATGCCCATCAACTAGGTAAATAAACCATAGTATGTTCAGTGAAATACAGAGTTGCTTAAAACTTGGAGTTGCTTCCATTTGCTGGCTTGGAATCTACAAAAAATGCATACTGTCTGGATGCTTTAAAAGATTTCTTTTAATAATCTATAACAAATCGTTTATATGAAGATCAGGACAGTAACAATAAGGCCTCACGTGAGCAGGGTTTTGAGGAGGAGCCTGCTTGGGCTGTAGTGGGTGAGTTCCTGGGAGCCTGGTGAACACTCTGGGGGTATTTCCAGCAGTGCTCGGTCATGTCAAGTTTGCATCCATTTCGCGTGGTTTTCAGTGTCTGTGGCATATTTTACAGCAGGATGATATATAGGAGAGTTATTAAACAATTCCTGTAAGCGAAATGAGCATCCAGGAGCCCACCCCTCATCCAAGAACTTGACCATGACTAATGACACCTCTACTGCCTCTAGAGGTAACTGATACTGAATCCTGTGCTTCTCCACTTCTTGCTTGTTTCAGCTTTACCTTATTATTGAAGGATGCTTGAGCAACAGACTTATGAAAAAGACATTGTACTGTGTGTCATCTTTCTGGGCTTTTTACAGATGCAGTAGCTTGTTTGCGATGAATTTACTTCCAAGTTTATAACGATTTATCCTTACCGTGGACCATGATTTCTCTAATTATTTTTAGAGCATTAGGAATGTCACTATTCATCTGTAATGACTAAATGAACTGCTAAAGCATTAGTTTTTGAATTTAAAAATAGAAACGTATGCATAGAGGGTAGTGAGGAATCCTATTCGTATAACTCGTGTATAGGAACTGTTGTGTTCGGGGATGGATGCAGGTCCAGGACTACTCGCTAAACAATTTAGGAAGTGGGATTCTCATCTGGACACCATGATAACCAGGGTATTCTCTTAGACAATGAGTATCGTAGCCCAACTACTCCCAGGTTCTTCTTAAAGCTCTCCTATATTCTTAAATTTATATTTTGTAAATAATACCTGAATGCACAATTCTTATTTAAAAGCCTTAACAAATAAATAAACAAGGATACTGTAGTTTTCTTTTTATCCCCATTCTAGGCCATTTCCTTTTCAATCACCAGTGAATAACAATCACCATTCCTCAGCTTTGCTTTCTAGGTGCCCCCCCCCCCCACCAATAGCTTTCTAAGAAATCAAAATACTTTAATTAGAAAGGCACAGAACGATGAAGTTAAAACACACAAGAAGGTGTTCTAATTTAGCACTCATTTTAATTAAAATTTTTCTGCAAAGAAAGAGCAGAAAGGAATTCCAAGTTTACAGAAGGAGCAAAACCTGCTATTTGGGTTTTCTTTTTATTAATTTATCAACATAACTCATTACATATATGTTTTGGTTTGTGAAATGCTCAGAATACACTTTAAAATATATCTCCATTTTAAAACTTATGTAAAAATCCTGCCCCCCATTATCTAGTATGTTAGCACTATAACGGGGGGGGGGGCAGAAAGGATAGCAGTGTGTGCATATCTTTTATATGCCACCTAGTAACTATGTCATCTTGGGCACATTAAAAGACCTCCCCATGTCTCAACCTCTCTACTTGTTAAGCGAGTGCTGTGAAGACTGAATGAGACACATAAACTGCCTTGCACAATCTTTGCCACACATAAGCTCTCTTGTGAATGTAAGCATACCTTGCTTCCCTACATATCTGTAGTTTAATATATACCTCAGAGCTCATAAAGACTATAATTGTCTCATGCTGCTTTTCTTAAAAGAACCAAATAGTTTTTCCTCTACAGAAAGATCCCGTGTGTGGGGGTGGGAGGGACGGGGGCTGGGGCAAAAAAAAAAAAAAAACCCTAAAAAACAAAACCTTGCCATCCCTGTTTCCCTAGCTGCTTCTTTTCCTAAAGGAGTAGCATGGAAGAGAAGCGTGGGCTGACCACCTGGACAGGATGAGATGGGAGGGAACAGCCACTTATCAAAAGGTTATCCAGTGTCAAAGGACCACTTTTCCCATGCATGATTCCTCTCAAGGAAAGCCTTGCACTTCGGCTGTGGAGCATCCGGGCCCTTAGCCCCACAATGGTTGCTTTTTAAAAATCTCCTAGCGTTCTCTTGGTACTGCAGCCCTGATGGCACACAGCAGTGATCTGAAACACCTTCCCCGGGGAAACAATCAATTCTGAAACAACTTTCTCCCTTCTAAACCACATCCTCCACTAGATGTCCCATCATCAAGTTCAAAGGCATGGCCTTCAGATTCAGTTTCCATCGGGGCTTTACTGTCTCCGAGTTTTCAATTCAATCCACATTATGGCATTAAATGACCCGTGGCTGCCGCCATTAAAAGAACTTCCATGAGTGAGGAAGCATTCTATGTTTGCCTCAGTCACTGTCCCTGACAGAGGGCAAACAGGTACCTTACATTAAAGGGAACTGCCCTCTTAGGTCCTTTCAGACATATGTGTTTTATTGCAAGCATTGGGTGGTGGGGAGAGATGGATCAATATTCCGAGTTTCTGCTTCTGTAAGATGGAGACCTCCAACCCTGAAAAGCATTCTTTTCTGCTACTTGAAATATCCAGTAACCCCATTCCCCCTCAAAGGATGCCCACAGACATTCATTTCCGGCTTTGGCTAGGGGCCACCACCTGCTGCTCATCATTCCCAGGCCCCTCCCATCGTCCTTCCTTACCTGCTATACGATGAAGTTGAAAGCTCAGGTACAATATCGGCAGCAGGAGCAGCATGGTCTGTATCATCCTGAAACAGACAATCGAGAGTCTCAGAGCTCCGTGCGCTTTCTCAGTCTCTGATAGTTTAACTCATCCCAAGAACATGGTAATGACTCAGAATCAAATCTTGTGGGAGATGCAGACGACGACGGAGGAGCAGAGACAAGAAGAGAGGCTGCGGGTTCCTTTTCTGGAGAAGAGCTTATCCACAGCAAGGAGGAAGAAGTCACTCTGAATTCAAATGAGCTGCTCTTCTTGCTTCTCGCATAGCCTTTTCTGGAGAGCAGGGTGGACACCAACAGCCACCCACAATGGCGATCATCCGTATCCTTGTGGTGGGCCTCTCATGTTACTTTCTAAAGTTCAGTCAGTATCAAAATCTCGAACCTCAGCCTTGTTTACCTAATAGTAAGCTGTCTTCTCTAGCTGGACTGGAGCCTGCGGAGAGTGATCCTGGGGAACCGGGCTCAGGAGGTCAGAGCTCACGGATCAATAGGCACTAGTAGACGGAGCAGAAAACATCAAGCTGTTGAGTGCCTGTTGTGTGGTTTGTCTCCTAATGAGTTTTCTAATTCTTATCTTTTAAATTACCTTTTTTGGGAGGGGGGTTGAAACAGGGTCTAGGCGAGCCTCTTTCTATGTAGCATAGGCTGACTTTGAACTCCTGATCCTGCTTCCACTTTCCAAGTACTAGGATTGCAGGCAAGCACCACTGTGACTGGTCCACTTTTTATTCTTTTGAATGCCTTAAGTAGAGGTAATTTTTATTGCTTCTTCTAAGATATACCTCAAAGAAGCTTATTAAAGTCTGTATGCTGTCATCAAGGAAACATTAAAACAGTGGATAACTGCCAAAGATGCAGATGAAACCTGCATCTGCTGTAACCCTGTACACTGCTAATGGGAATGTGAATTAGTACAGCCACTATGGAAAGCAGCATGGATATCCATGTTATACAAACTTTTCTAGCTATTCATTGTATAGAACAATGGATTTCATTGTAACTCTTTATACATGTTTATAATGTATTTGATTATGTTTACTCCCATTTACTATGTCTGACACTCCCCCCTTCTCCTCATTGCCCCCTTCCTCATTAGCAGTTCTACAAATGACCTTAAAAGTTCTACAAACGACACTGGATTCTTCTTTATGGCTGAATAATAAGATATGATTTATCATATATATGATAAATATAAATATATCATATATGTCATGATATATAAATGTATCATATATATTTCCCAAGCACCTGGGTCAACATCCTAACTTGGTTACTATGAATGGTACAGCAATAAGCACGGTTATATAAGTATTTTGGAGGCTGACTTAGATTCCATTTGGTGTATTCTGATGAGCAGAACAGGTAGACAACTGGATTAGATGGTGCTACCAATTTTAGTTTATTAAGGGATATCCATGTTGCTTTCCATAGTGGCTGTACTAATTCACATTCCCATTAGCAGTGTACAGGGTTAATTTTGTCTGGATCTTTGGCAGTTATCCACTGTTTTGATGTTTCCTTGATGACAGCCATTCTGATTGGGTAGGTGGGGGAGAGTGTCTGTTTTCTGAGAGCTCTGGGGTCTGCCAGGGATGGGAGGTGTGTCAGACCCTGCTCCAGCTCAGTGTGGTTCCCTCTCCTGTTTCACTTCCCACCTCAGGTTTTCTGCATCCACAGAGTACTCATGTTTGAAGACACCTGGGAAGGCACACTGCTGTCGGCTCTTCTGTCTTGAAAGGACTTGGGGCTTTATTAGGCAGGCTAAGCTGCACACCTCAGTCCTGGGAAAGAAGAGCCAGCAAGCTGGTGGAGGGCTTCTCTCTGGAGCCCCAGGGACTTTATTTGCATTTTTAGAAGAGGATGCTGCTTTGGTTAGAGAGCAGGCTGCTTTTGGAAGGACTGTAAACGCCTGCATTAGGGTGCTGCGCCAGTGGACGAAGTGATCTGCTGAGTTTTGAGTTTTTTAATGTGTTCACTAAATTTATTTTAAAAATGATCAGTAGCTTTATTGAAATATTGTTAACACACAAAAGAAGGCCATATAAACTTAACACAAACTCTTGGCATAGTATTAATTCAGTGGACTGTTTAGCATATGCATAGAGTTGGGTAGCCAACACCACTGTTTAATTTGGCAAATTTTAATTGCCACTAAAAGGAGGAACCATGCTCACTCAGAGAGATTCCCATTTCACTCCCCTTTCCCAGAATCCTGGCTGTTGTCCATCTGTTTTCTATCTTGGTCAACTGCTTGTGTTGACATTTTATATAAATGACACTGAGTAGCCCATGACCTTTTGTGGCTTGCTTCTTGCACTTGAGCAATGAAGCCAAGATTTATTTGTTATGCTGCACATGTCAACACTTCGTTCCTCTCATAATGGGAAGTTATTCCATTGTATAATAAGCCAAATTTGTTTATCACTTGCTAACCTCTTCTCATAAGAACTAAGTCTGTTCTGTTCATAACTAGGTCTCTAATCTGTTCTGAGTTCATTTTTGAGTATGAATAACGCTCTTTTGTGCATATTTCAATAAAATTTATTTTTAAAAACGAAACTATCCTTTCTCTGTAGAATTGTCTCAGCAGCCAGGATGATAAACGCAGGATGTATCCCTGGACTTGACATCCATTTTGCACAGGTCTGTGTCTGTTCTCTGCCCCATGATATAATGTTGTTTATGGTAGCTTTGTGGGAACTTTGAAATCAGAAAGTGAGACCTTTGGGTTTGTCCCTTCTCAAGTCTACTCTCCTCCTTCCTCTGGCCCTTCCTCTTCCTTTCCCTTGACTCTCTCTCTCTCTCTCTCTCTCTCTCTCTCTCTCTCTCTCTCTCTCCCTTGTTTCTGCATAAATTTTAGGATAGACTTGACTTGTCTATTCTGCACAAAATGAACTGCTGTGCTTTGGTAGGAATTACATTGACTCTGCAGCAGCTCCATTCATGGGGAATATAATCATCTCAACATTAAATCTTTCAAACCCTGAAAGCTGTCTTTCCATTTTCTTTTTTTTTTTCTTTTCAGATTTTGAAACTTAAAAATGAGTTATTATTATTATTTTATTAGTGATAAAGCCATGTGTGGGTGCATGTGCCACGGTATGCATCTGGAAGGCAGCTTTGTGAAGCTGGTTCTCTCCTTCCATCTTTATGTGAGGTTTAAGAATGGCTCGGGCTTGCTCAATAAGCATCTGTTCTCACTAGGCTGTCTCACCATACCAAGGTTTTAAACTCTTTAATTGTATATTTAAAAGCTTTACATTCTAATAGTTACACATTCTAATAATTAAAATAATTTGAACAAAAACCCGGCACTCTGATTATAGGACACGCTGCAGCCTGTAGGACACAGTGGATGTCCTTGGATTTTATTCTAGGTCTCGCCATTTCCCAAATCCAGCTTCTTTGCTCACCAGCCATTAGTTCTTTCTCTTTCCTGCCAGCCAGACCTGTGGATGCCAGAGGCAAGCAGAGACTTTGTTGCCAGTTGTTACGGATTCTGCGAGATGTGTAAGGGAGAGCCGGGTCTTTTAAACTTTGTGTAACCTCTTCACATCTTATGAAGCTAAACAGAGCAACCGAGTGCACGTTGGTGGCAGGTGCCTCACCATCTGCCATCTGCCTGCTCAAGTCTGTTTGTTTGTTTCTTTTGAAGGAAGAGATTCTCTCTTACATCTCTGGGATCTTCAGTCTCTACTTATTGAGTTTCTGGATGTCAGCCACATCGGTATTTTAGACAAGGTAGAGGAGAGAACTGAGAGAAGGGTGTGAGCAATAAAGCCTTATCTGTTACTGAATAGCCTGTTTCCTTAGAGCTATATCTTGAAAAACAAAAACAAAACAAAACAAAAAGAAAAACCAAAACAGCAACAACAAAAACCTATAGGACATTGCTGACAGTATAGATAATTAAAAAAAAAAAACACAGAATAACTCCTGGGCTTAGGGATGGAGTCATTAGGACACTAGAGGACCTGGAATATCCATAGGATCTGAGGTGCCTGCTAGAGTTCTGAGAGAAGTTCCTCAGGAGGTGGAAGGGCAAACAGTACAAAGCTGGAGGTAGAGATAAGGCCCTTGTAATGGCCACGGTCACGTAGGACACAGCCTGCATGACATCAGGTAGGAGAAATGGGAAGTGCCAAGTGAAGCAACAGGCCTGAGGTACTGATTGCAACATGTCTGGACCATTGTGAGGAGAAGGCACAAAGAGGAGGTAGAAGAAGGGCAAAAAGCCCAGATGACAGTACCTTACCTGTTAACTTTAGATTTGGATCTGGGTGTTCTGACCTGTAGTGTATGGAAAGCTTGCTAACCCGGAATGGACCCCACCTTTCCCAAGAAGTGGCATTGAGGAGCTAGGAACACCTCGTTTAAATGCAAATTAGGCAACACAGAGCCTTTGTGCTTTATGGCCTGCTTTGATGAAGACCTACTCCTCACGAAAAGACACTATAAAACTAGCAACTGATCCTTGCTGAAAGCCAGCAGAAATTGTATTAATTCATCCCAAATCTGCTTTTCCTGACTCACTTGTTTCTTCTGGTGAAACAGTAACACAGACATCTGCCCATGCATCTCTTCTCCTGGACAACTTCTGGATAACTCCCCACCTCCTGTTTAACCCTGATATTCACCCATGTGGGACCTGGTGGCACAAGCTTTTCCCTTTGAGGATTATAATGATATCAGACTATCTTCCCAATGGCAGAATGAATGAAGGCTCAGCCCACCAGGGATCAATGGTAACAAAGTACTTAGACTGTCTTCAGATGTCTTCAGAAGCCACTTGAGGTGGGTTTGAAACTGGTGCTTCTAGAACAGACAACCATGGAAGAAGCCAGATCATATGGTCAAGACATCTTGTCAACAAATGTCAAAATGTCCACTGCAGAGCCTAACTCTCCTGGATAAGAAAAGGGGGTGCCTAAAGAGTCATAGTACACATCTGTCTGCAAAGGAATTCTTAACCCCCCTCTCACCATCTATAAGCAATGTCTCCTGTCCCCTTCAAATACATTCCCTACCAATCCATTGAGAAGGCAGGTTTGAGTGTATTACTGCCCTGACCCCTTATTAAGTGACTTCTTTGTGGGTTGGGTAACAAGCCCTTGCTTGGTATCAGTGGTGGCCATCTCTGATCTGTCAACCTCACTGTTACTGAATAAATAATACTAAAACCAATATTTT